CCCAATACCAGAAGAGGAGGCCCCCTCTGCTTGAATTAAGCAGCATCTCCTTGCACCTGGCAGAGAGAAGGCAATGGCCAGTGTCCCATACCCTCTCTGACAGGGTTAGCCACTCACCTCACTCTAGCACTCCACGTGGGCAGAGCAGCACACATGGAATTGGAGCCAAATCCAGTGGAAAGGATCTGGGTTAGAGATGATTCCTTATCAACAGAAATAAAGAGCTTAGTTACCAGCAGCTTGGTCTGAAGTCTGCGTCCATCAGCTAACTCAACTTGGACCCAAGGGCTTGTGTCACAGCCATGGGAAGGAAGGGGCCAGGTGTACCCAACTGCTTTGTTCCTGTAGAAAACCTCCACCCGATCTGATGGGAACACAGAGTACCATGGTCACAGCACGACACGGACAGGAAAAAAGAAAACACCACTACAACAGCCAAGGCCACGCGTGTCTTAACAGCACCCTAGGAGCTTACCCTACAATTCTCAAGGCATCCTGAGAAAACAGATATGGACAGCCCCTTGTCACTGTAAGGCCTGCTTTGGACAAGGAGATACGGATTTTTTAATTAAGTCAAATTTTGGAGAGACTGTATTCTGGAGAACTACATATGCAAGTGCTTTCCTGCTCTGTAGCCTTTGGAAGTCAGATTTCTCCCTCCCTTCCCAATGCCAGAAGCTGACCATTTCTCAAAAGCTACTTGTTAGACCAATTTCTCCCTCTCAAGACTTAGCACACAATAGAAGGCAAGTAACTGAAAGCTATCTGCAGGAAATAAAACATGGAAGAAGTTGTCCACTACCTGCTACTGCATCTAACTGTTTTGTGAGAGCAGACATAATGACATCATTCTCCACTATGTAACCCATGTCATCTAAGTCATCTTTCTCAAAAACGATCATGGCTTCTGAACAAGCATCCCACACCTACAAAGAAAAAATACATTACATAAAACTATGTGATAAAGAAGTCCACTTCAGGAACTTAACAGCAAAAAGACACAGTAATCTAGGAACACAGAACTAGAGGAAACATCCTGGATTACTGTCCATTCCCAGCTACAAAATGCACCACAAAACTAATTTCATTAAATTATTTAGCTTAAGCTCAAAAGTAATTCCAAGTCAAGTTTTTCATCCCTACTTTTCTGTTTCACAATTGACATATGGAGCTATGCTAAAACCTTGCTGTAGGTTAACCCTAGCAGGCAGCTCAGCCCCATGCATCTGCTTCCTTACTCCCCTGCACTGGGATGGGGAAGAAAACTGGAAGGTGAAACTCATGGCTTGAGGTAAATGCAGTTTAATAAGAAAAGCAAAAGCCACATGTTCAAGCAAAGCAAACCAAGGAATTAATTCACTGCTTCCCAAGGGCAAGCATGTGTTTAGCCATCTCCAGGAGAGGAGGGCCCCATCCAGCATAATGGTTACTTGGGAAGGCAAACATCATCACTCCAAACTTCCCATCCTTCTTTCTTTTTCTCAGCTTTTATTGCTGAGCATGACAGCATATGGTATGGATTATCAGTCAGGGTCAGTAGTCCAGCCTGTGTACCCTCCCAGCTTCTTGTGCACCCCCAGCCTGCTCGCTGGCAGGGCAGTGTGAGAAACCCTTGGCACTGTGTAAGCACTGCTCAGCAATAACTAAAACATCCCTGTGTTATCAACAGTTTTCAACACAAATCTGAAACACTGTCCCATACAAGCCACCATGAAGAAAAGAAACTCTATCCCAGCCAAACCAATACACCCTTTACCATTATTTCCTGCTAATACCCAAGTCTCAACATCCACAGCTGCCATTAAGAATCCACCTTTCAGCCTGTAACATCAAGACCCCAAGGACGGGTATTTCTGAGCAGACTGGTACCCACAAAAAAGGAACAGAAATGAACATAAGCATGACCTGCCCTTTACCATAGAGAGAAAAACCTTTGTGTCATTGATGCAAGTACTTTTGAGAATTCAGAGTAGACAGACACATGGTGTATCTGCAGCCCGAAGTCAGGTACCTGCATTCGCCTGAATGGTTTGAGTCTCAGGCTGCAGACATGATCCCAGGCACCACAACCTGAAATAGAAAAAGGACAGAAATACACGGAGATACAGGTTCATGTGGGACACTGAGACCAAAACAAAACTGAAGCTCACTCCACACTCTCCTCTACCCTTCCCTGACTATGCTCAGGTTTGGCTTGCACAATCCCTAGACAGTGCCAGGTCTGCCTCAGTGCTATCACGGCTCCAGCATCACATTGTTTACTGTTAACACAAGGCAGCAGGAAAGGAACAAGAGCTCTCCATGAACCTCTGATCTAACAGACAACTTTCACTGTCCCATCACTGTGTAATAAAACAGACACAGAAATGCACAGCCATTATTGTAGAGAACATTGCTTTTTCCTTAAGGAATCAAACCTCAAATATCTCTTTAAAATGAAAATTAAATATCATTAATTGAGGACTGAGTTACCAGACCACAAAGCTTCTTTTGTGAATAGAACATTCCAGGTGCTGTAGAGAGCACCTTTCAACCTTTCACTAATCTAAAGTCACAAATACTTATACAGTAACAAATCAAACCAAGATACCAGAACACAGGTCCCTGTTATCAAGGGAATTTGGATTTAATAACCACAACTCAGCATGTAGAGATGAAGGCAAATAATTCTACTGATATTAGGGCGAAGGCAACACATGGTCAAAAGGGTTTTTGTTTAAACAAAACCAACTCAAATATAAATGTTAAAAATGCAAACAACAAAATCATACTTACTGCTTAGGAGGGTTGCTGATCCTGGGGAGATGGAACTGACCCTGTTGCTGTAACTGTCTGGCATGTGATCATATTCTTTCCTAGGACCAGCCTCCAGCAAAGCAATCTTTTTATCATGGAAGTGGATGTCATGCCCTAAAATAAGCAAATACATGCTTTGTTACAATGCTCCTGCCAAAAATCTCAAAAACAAAACATCTGAGTTTTTGTAGTAAGACAGAATAGATGCAACACTTAATAAAGAAATACATATACAATGCAGATTTTGACCAGGCAGGGTAACTTTTGTATGTTAAAACTTTATGACTACAGTCCTGTTACTGAGATGGACAACTCTTTTGCAGCTAAAGCAAGGATTACATATTTCCCTTTTACATAAAGCTTACATATTTGTACAAATTTGTGCCATTTTTAAATGAAAATTTATTACTAGAGTATTATAAAGTGCAATCTGCAAAGTTTATTCCATGTTTACTCCAGAATACATTTTCCAGAGCTTAAACATAAATTCTCCTTTTAGAAGAAGAGATCAAAATAAAACTGTGATACGTAGCAATTAAGTTAATATTTTGTCTGTCCTTACATTCTGACAATGGGATAGCACAGGCAGTTTAGACTTTAAACTTCCAGTTAAAGAGAACTGAAAAAAAAAAAAGAAGACCCAAGTAAAGTGCAAAACACTGCAGCTGAGCTGGCCACGCTTGCAGCATCCCAACCACTACAGATGCAGAGGGCATTTAGGACAGAAGTGGTGTCCTTGCAACATCTCGAGTTTACTACTGCAGCAGCCCTCAAAACAGCAGTGTCCTGGCATATTTTCTAGATTATGCACAGCAATAACCTCGTCTCCTGAGAGGTCCCAAACCTGCTTGTCAGCCTTACGTAGCACTGCTGGAGGGGATCCTTATGCCCTCTCAAATCCACTGGGCTCTTGTTTAACAATAAAAGCAGAACTTAAGTTTGCAAGGTAAATCCTTATACTTGCAAAGCTCTTATTCTCGGGATCTTTGATCTTCTGGGCACTATTTTTTTTTTTTTTTTAGCTTTTGCCACTACTGCACCCTTCTGAATCCATGTTGAAAATAAAGGAGCAGTCAGTACTCTCAGGATCTCTAATGATACAAAGCAAGCAGAAATCCATTTTAACTTGCTATTCCAGTGTTTAAAATACAGGGTTAGACAATGAAATTTAGGATCAGATAATACATAAAGATTAGAGAGATGGAGAACCTCTCCTACAAGGAAAGACTGAGCAAATTGGGTTTGTTCAGCCTGGAAAAGAGATGGCTTAGGGGTGACTGAAATGTGGCCTTACAGTACCTGAAGAGAGCCAACAAGAAAGACAAAAAAGGGACTTTTTACAAGATCATGTAGTGACAGGACAAGGGAAAATGGATTCAAAGTGAAAGAGAGTAGGCTTAGATTAGATATTAGAAGGAAGTTCTTTGCTGTGAAGATGGTGAGACACTGGAACAGGTTGCTCAGAGAAGCTGTAAATGTTCCAACCCTGGAGGTGTTTGAGGCCAGGCTGGATGTGGCTCGGACCAACCTGGTCAATGAAAAGTGTCCCTGCACACAGCAAAGGGTTGGAACTAGGTGATGCTTAAGGCCCCTTCCAACCCATTCTATTATTCTATAATCAGAAAAGCATTTTAGCTATGGATGACATTATCCATCAGCTATTTAAGGATAAGCAAGTTTGACAGAAACACCATAGCCTATAAAACTGTAGTTAATGGCCCCATTAACAGCTGTGCACACACACGGATACAGCGAGGCTCATCAGTGACCAGCTCACCAAACAGCTTTAGGTCAGCTTTAGAGCGCCGTCACACGAGGACGCAGGATCAAGGATCCCTCAGCAGGACCCTGGACACTGAGGTCCTATACACGGTTATATCCCACTGCGGGTGAGCGGGTCACAGCCTTACCCAGCACGGCGGCCATGGCGCTCCCTACCATGCCCCCGCCCGACACCAGAACGTCGTAGAGCGGCGTGGCGGAGGCGGCGGAGTGGAGCGGGGCGCGGGGCCCGGCCCTGAGGCGCGCTAGGAGCAGCGCCCGCCCGCGCAGCGCCGCCATCGCCGCGGAACTGACGGCGGCGGAAGCGGCGCCACGGCACCATGACAACACCGCGCGCGCCGCCGGCCTCGCCTCTGATTGGCTGCGTGAGGCCAGGTGGGCGGGCCCGAGCGGCGCCGGCCGCGCTGATTGGTGCAGGCCGGGGCGGGGCGGGCTGAGGCGGCGGCCCGCGGTCGAGTGGGGACCTGGCCGCGGAGCTCCCGGGCGGGGAGGCGGGTTCGCAAGCCCAAAACCAGCACTTCCCGATTTATTTCGTTTTTTCCAGGTGACGCGACATCGCCTCAGGCTGTAACACGCCGACTCCTGCGTTCCCCGCCGCCGGGCAAGGAGCTGGGAACATCCTATCGGGATGGGGGGCCGGCGGTCTCCGTTAGAACCGGGCGTACCGTGCCAGGCAGAGTTATGGGGTGACCTCGGGGTGTTCGAAGAAGATGAGGAGCTGGAGGGTTTCAGGAGGGAGGCGGAAGTTCTGCGTGAGAAGCTGAGGGAGGCTCTCAGGTAGGACGATACCTGGTAAGGATGGCAGGATGGGGTTCAGGATTCCTTCTCCTTCTGGTCAAGGAGGATGCGGAGCATGAAGTCCCAAAATGCACGTGTATAGTGCCAAAACACTGGCCACAAGTGTAGTCAAATCCGGGAGGATGGGGTCAGCAGGTGCCCACGTAAGCGGCTTTCACATAAAACACGAACAGCACAAATCCCCGCCTCACTCATCAGCTAATCATGCTTGAAATGTGCCAGCAGATGACACACATTTCTATCCAGTATCCAGTCTTCAGAGCTGTGGTCTTTCCAAGGTCGAGCTCTCAGATGACTTTCCTTGTGGTTAATCTAGCTTTGCATTCACTAGCAGGTCACACGTGCACTCTTACAAATGAAATAGTTTATGAAGAAGAGACTGCAGCAATTACCAGCAAGTGTATTGACCAGGACTCTGTTCACACATGATCTGCACCTTCTGTCTCCCCCACTTTTTTCCTGTTTGCTGTTCTTGGTCCACTCTGGTTCACCTTGTTCCTTCCTTTTGCCTGCATTTATTCCTTCCCTAAAATCTAAGTTTTCTTCACTTTCACAATCACCCTCACACATCCTATGAGATTGCTATTTTCATGAGACCCAGGATAGTCTCAGGTGGGTTTTTTTTCTTATTATCAATAATATGGTCATCTTCTCAGGAACAAAGTTTCCAGCTGAACCTCTCAAACGTCACACTAAAGCAGTTTCTTGTAATGATGTTCCCACCAGCATCCCAGGAATGCTAGTGTTTGGTAGTGTTTGTTGGGATTTGTGCATCTGTGTGCCTGATTGCCTCTTCTGCATTTGTCTGTTATTTTGAGTAGCTGTTAGCAAGATAACCCTAAAGTTGGAACTTTATGGTTTGCTTGTGGCCTTTCTGGCAACAGAGTGCTCGCAGCATAATAAATTGCATGACAAAGCTAAGTAGCCCAACTTCCATTTTATACATGGAAAAAAAAACAAACAAAGCTCTGCTCGCAAACTTTGGTAGCAAAGCGAAATATGTAGCCTGAGAATGACAAACCCTAGGCTTGTCTTTTAACAACCAGCTCAGCCTGCGGTGTCTTTCTCTTAATCAGTAGTGTCTCCCTTCTTTTAACTCTGTTTTTTAATAATGTCACTAATTTCCCCTTCATAATGTGTTTGTCTTAGTCATACATCTGGTAACATAAGGCAGTCCAGTTCTTTGACCGACCTCACCTCAGACAGTACCTGGGATCAGCAAAAGCCTCACTTGTTTCCTAAGTCCCGCTTGAGGCCAAAAAGCGCTTCATCTCCCTGGATTCCTTCCATCACCATCCCTCAGCCTTTCAAAATGACCCTGCGGGAAGCTCGCAAAAAGTCCGAGTTGATGAAGTCATACATGTTTCTTGAACTAGACAAACAAAGAGACAAAAGGCAAAGCCAGGATGAAGCTGAATGTCAGAAACAATTCCGGGCACAGCCTGTACCTGCCCATGTGTTTCTGCCCCTTTATCAGGAAATAATGGAGCAGAATGAGATTCGCAGGCAAGCAGCAACACAGAAAAGAAAGGAGCTGCTACTTTCAACACAGCGGCCCTTCAGTTTTCTGGAGAAGGAAGAGAAAAAGAAAGAAGCTATCAGACAAAAATTCCTGGCAGCAGCAGCCCCAAATGAGAGCTCCAAACAGAAGCAAGCCAGTAAAAAAGTTCCTAAATCTACTTATGACTCACTTCTTGGAGATAAACTCAAAGGTAACATGCCAGGGCTCTTTCTGTAAAAGCACCTCCCTGCCTGTCCCTTGTCCCAGCTGTCTCCATGCTGGGAGGTAAGATCATGGCTCATATGGCATCACTTGGAGCCTAAAGACAGTGTCCCCTGGTGTTGTTGAGTCTCCTGTGTGTCACTGGTCATTACATTTGTTTAGACACCCTTGCAGTAGAGTACCCTAAGTTTAGTAGTCCTGTATGAGCGTCAGCAACAGCAATTCTGTTCCACTTCCCAGAAAACATGGGCATACTGAGCTCTTCAGACAGATTTCCGTACCCATTTTGCTGCAGATCGTGACAGTTTGGGAATCTTTCCCTGCACTGGATTCCATACCTTTGGTTACACTAAAGGGACTGAGATGATTTGTGGCACAAACATGAAGACAGATGTAGTGCCATAGATCTCCAAGGTCTATGCAGTATCTTAGATCTGACAATTTTACTCCTACCCAAGTGATCCATTCTACACAGAACCCCTAGGAGAGAAGAGAAATATTTCCTGATCCCAAATCAGCCAATTTGTTTGGTTTTAAGTGATAGTGTAATAGTCCAGTTTCTCCTGCCATCCTCTGATGTTTCCAGTTGCCTTCCCACTTGCACTGGCTCAGTTGCTAAAATGGGGAAAGTGGGTGCCAGGACCATTCTAGTCAGGGCAGCCAAGGAAATGTTCCAGATGCTTGTCTGCTTTCAGATGGCTTAAGCCACCACAGTTGAAAGTTTGAAGTAAGCAATTCAGACTTGATGCTTGAAAGTGGGAACTAAGCCTGTCCTTAATAATTCTCATGGCTTTTCTCATTCTTTTCTCCTTTTTTACTGTTTCTGTGATTTCTTCTTGAGGATACACCGGTTCAGTTTTCATCAGAAAACATTCTGTTTTAACATAAATAGATTAGAAAAGTAAAAGGCAGGAAAGGACAAACCATTGTTCTATTTGGCATATGAGAAGGGAGAAGAAATTAACATTTCATACTTCAGGCAATGAATACCTATAAATTGACTCAAAACCATCTTACTTTGCAAACAGCAGTATTGATTTTCTTTTCCTAAAAGCAAAAAACCAACCCCAGCCAACTGTCTGCATTTTCATAAATATTTAGTGCTGCACAGGGAAGGACTTCAGTTTGATGCTATAATCTGAAACATACCCTATGGAACGTTTGTCACGAAAGTCACAAAATGTGATCTATCTGTCAAATGTTCCTTACTTAAAAGCTTTTCCAATATAGACAATTACTAATGGAGATTACATGGAAAAGCTATCATCTGTTACAACTCATTTGTACCACTCAAAATGGCTGTAAGTCCCATATAAAAAGTATGGGACTAGTATGGAAGATTAACCCTTCTGCAAGACTAAGGAGACAAAGGGCACAAGTTATCTGATATCCCTAAGAATAGGAGAAATCCTGTTCAATTATTGCTCCAGTAAGTAAAATATATCTAGAAATGCATGCCTAAGAAAAAGTCCCTGCCATGGTTTTACTGTTATCTTTGAATTATTTTCCCTGGGAGGCAGAGGAGAGAGGGGCTGAAAAAGGGAAAAAGAGCACAGGATGTTTGGTCTCTCCTATATGTGTAGCTGCTATCATAATGGAAAGTTTAGACTTGGGCGGTGGCAATTTCTCAGCCTTTTATGTCACTCACACTGTCCTCATTGCTTTCCTTTTGATCCTTTAGAAGCTGAACTCTACAGGGAAATCCGTATTCAAATGAGAGCAAAGGATTTGCTAGAGAGCTCCGTAGCTCCTATAGATACCAGCAACTGTCGGAGGGAGCCTCAGTCCCGAACTGCCACCAGAACTAAGCAGGAAAAACTTGGCTTCTTACAGGACAAATGTTTCAGCTTCAAACCAAGGATTAATCCAACAATACCAGATTTTGAAGAACTTTACTGGGCGTTTCAGAGGAAAACAGTAAGGAGACAAGAAATCAAAGAGCCAACTCGTAATAAGCCATTCAAGCTGAGAACCTCCAATCTCCATGCCAGGCAGAGGCAAGCTAATGAAAAGAGCAAGGTGAGATAGCTGGATAGTTCGGTGGTACTGCTTTCAAGATACCAATTTCTCAAGTTTATAGCATTTAATTATTAATGGTTAACATCCTGTGACATCTGCACTTGTATTGAGAGTACTGCAGAATTCTAGGCCAAACAAGAGAACAAAATTCTACACAGAGATGAGCTATGACAGCTAAGGCTCAGTCACCCTTTCTTATGTCTCCTTCCTCTTGTCCCTCAACCCATCCACATGTAAATCTCTGCTGATGGAAGAGAAGAATGAGTGCATTCTCATACGCCAGCTGTTCTCTTTGGTAGGCAAATAAGAGAGGACATTCAGTACTAGCAACTGTCTGTGAACAAATACACTGAATGAAGTTTCATTTCTTTCAGGATTCTCAGGAGCTTTCCAAGGTTTCAGTGCAAAAAAGTCACTCTCTGCCTGGACTTTCTTCTCTCTCTTCCAACACACTTCCTGTGCATATTACAGATGCAACTAGAAAGAGGGAATCAGCTATTAGGTAGGTAGAAAGTTTGTCTACAAGACTGTACAACTACTGACCAATATGGAGGAAAAAACACCAGTGTTTTCCCTCATCACATCAACTATACATTTCCTAAATGTTTCTCTGTCTTCTTTCTTTGCCAAGTCTTTCTCTGTCTCCCAGTTGCTTTGGAAACTGTACACTTGTATGGCTGAAATTTTGCTTTTTCTCCTTAGAGGACTACAAAAGTGAAATTCCCACCTAGCATGTGATTTGGCATTCTACTTAGGCTCATCAGTAACTTTTTTTCCATATAGATATGCCCAAGATAACAAAAAGGAAGGGGACAAAGAAGGAATTTATTGGCTGGAGAAACAGAAAATTAAATGTCAAGCTATGCAAAAGTCTGTGAACAGCCGAGCAAAAGCACTGGATCCTCATAAAAGTCTGAAGGAAACACAAAAGGAGAAGTCAAAACAGAACAGGTCAGTATCCTACTCTGCGCAAAAATAACCTTTTGCTCTTGATGAAGATCATCAGATAATTCTTATTTAGGACAGACTGAGTCTAAAAACATTCCTAACCTTTCTAGCTATTGTATCCATTCCACATTCATTTGGATATCTTGGCAATTCCACACTTGTCCTTCCATACAGAACTGTTTCCTTTAGATTAACATTTGTAGAAACTAATTTGTACAAGCCAGTCAACTGTAATGTGTAACTTGATAAAGAACACATAAGAGACAAGTTTTTCTAAAAATGTGAACCCTGTTTCTTGCTTGCAGTCTAGAAGAGCTTTGCTAATAGGTCCATAACTTGTCAGCAATAGGTTTTTTTTCCCCAGCATTCAAAATCAAGAGAATTACCAAAGTGATTTAAAGAATGAAACACTCACTGAGAAGTCATCATTCCTGATCAGCTACAGTCAGAGGTAACCTATAGTAGACAGTCATTTTTCCATTTCAGGCAAAATATGCAACAGAGAACAAAAGAATACAGAAAAGAGCTAGAAGAAATGAAGCTGCGAGTCAAGAACAGACCATTCCTTTTTGAACAGGTCACCAAGGTAAGTGGTCAAAGTCCCAGAGTGTTTCTGGGCAATAGGATAAATTGCCTTGTATTTAAGACAGGCATTGAGGAATCTAGTCTCAAATTAATTAATTGATAAGAAGGTACAAACAGTCACATAGTCTCTGGACTGCACTCAAAATAACACATGGAAAAGCCACCAAAGTATACTTTTCCTTCCTATTTTTTTCCTTGAAAAAAACATTCAGGCTTATTTCTAGGAGTTTGCCAGTTCCTAGTATGTATTGCAATCTGATCTGAAGTATGTATGGTCTGATCAAAATCAAGGCCTTGGAAATTAAATAAATTAAATAAATACCTATTCTGCACCTGAATACCATAGACTACAGTTTGGAGATGCAAAATTTTTTCTTAAAACCCTCTCCAGTTATGCACTTTGTCTTTGTACCTCTACTGCTGCAGAAGAACATTAATGATGGTTATGTTGCTTTTATCACCTGAAGGCTTTGCAATCTGGGGCTGCATTCAGCACATCTCAACAATCACACAGTACCAGCTGCAAATCTCTATTGCACCTGAGGTACAGATGCAGTTTGTACTGTATCTTTTTCCCGGGGTTTTCTCTTTCCATTCCATGTCCTTGCAGGAGCTACAGCTGGTTAGAGACAGTGACAGTACATTGACAATATGCTGATTTAAAATTTCTCAACAGAAAGTACCCTCCTGATCAGGTTTTCTGTTCTGATAATGGAGGTAGAGAACATGCATGTGTGATAAATACTGGTAATATTTCCATGTACCAGATTGGTAATAATTCACCATTAATCAATAGTGTTCACTCATGTTCATACTAGGTTTCGATCCTTCCATATCTAACACCTTAATCTTTAGGGACTGGCCAGTCCCTCTGGAAAATTAGTCTGATCTCAGACTACATTAACGTGAAAGGTTCATTTGGAAGCAGTGAGGATATAGGACCCAAGATGCTTGTTTTTTAATTGAGCTGATATGAAGCTATTTCACAGACACTCTCCCATTTATTAACTTCACTGTTGTTAGTTCTTACCACTTACAAGAAAATGTACTTACAGGACTGCACACGGCTTTGGTTTTGCACATATTTTTGATTTGAATGTCAGAGTTAGGACTCAGACACAAGTATACCAGTCTGGTAAGACTGGAATGCAGTAGAAGGAGGAGAAGAGAAGAAGGAAGAAAAAAAAGAACTGAAGCACAAAAATGTGAGTTCTGCCTTTGGGAGATGTAAGACATTGCCCTAATGTTCAATTTTGGTACTGTACTGTATGGATTACAAACATTTTGGATGGGAGGTTGTGTTGTCCTCTGGTCCCCATTAGGAGTGTCAGATATGCACTTCAAAAGAAGCTGACTGTATTGGGAAATCCCCAGTTCTATGCATTTACTGTTTAAGTTTCAATTTCACAGCACGATGCTCGTCAAGGAGCAGAGCGTCGCTACAGACACACCCTCCAGCAGGTTGGCCTAAGTGAAGAATTTGTAAAGAAAAAAGGGAAAGATGCCACTGACTTGCTGGAAGAAGAATCTGATGTTCACAGGTAATAAAAACAATGCAGTACAGCTCTTTTGTCTGTGACTAAAAATATTTTCTTTGTTCATGAATGCATTCCAGTTTCTATAATCTAGTGTAGAAAAATTAAATCAACTTCACTGCTCTTGTTGTGGCTTCTCTCTCTGAATTCCTATAACTGCACCCTATTTCATATGCACAGGGACAACCATTTCTGGTATTAGCCCATCACTGTTTCTGCAGGCTGCCTGAGCCTCGGGGTGAAAAGGATGACTGTACCGAACAGGAAGGAGTACCTCAGGAGGAACTGAGCACAAAGGGAGTTGCAACATAAAAGCTCGCAGAAGAATCCATCAATCAGTTCTTGACTTCTTTAGTTCAAGATTCTCCTCCAGGTTAATCCTCAGGAACTTAATAGTTTAAGCTGACACCTAAGAATTGCTGTGGGGTGAGATGGGAGAATTTAGTAATGAAAAACAACTGTTGTTTAGAGCATGTCTTGTTCAGCCCAGCAACCCCTGCAGTCTCCCTTAGTCTTCAAAAGTGTCCCTTGTGTGAGCTCTTTCCCTTTAATGGGCAACAAAAGAAGTTAGAGAGGTTGAAGCACTATCTTTGGATAAAAATAGATATGAAAGATTGAAAAAGTGCATCCTCTCGTGTCAGCTCCTTGCATTCATGCCACAGAAGCACACAGGAAAGGGAGCATGCCTTCTACTGTGCTAAACATTTTTTCAGACACATGTGTGGTAGAATGGTTTCAAGCAAGGTATTTCTACAAAAACAAATATCAGAATTTGGTCCACCTTGGTAGAAGACTCAAAGGGAAGTCTCTCTGGTGTTAGTTCTTCATTCACCCACTACCACCTCTGCTTCTTCCCCTCATTAGTAAGAAGCAACAGTCTTCCTATATTAAAAAATCTCTCATGTGTCACGATTTAAAAGTGTTTCAACATCTTACCAATTTAGGTCATTAATTTGGCTCAAAAAACAACCAATGTTATGAAGAAGGTTGTAATTAAACACTTTGAATGCATCACTTTGAATTATTGCCCTAATTGTATGATTACTGTGATATCAAAGATGGATTTTGGAGGAAAAAAGATTAGGTGTTGCCTGCCAGGACGTTACACTCAAATGCCTAGTGCATCTTGAAAGGCACATTTCACACTTTAGTGATTTCTCTTTACTTGACTCTATAAGAAGCATTTCAAAAATGAAAATCCTTTCCATCTGGAATGTTTTCTGAGAATTTTGCACTTTGACATTAAAATATTTTAAAATTGATATAATGTTTCTGTATTGCTCAATTTTCCTTATCAGTCACCTTTTCTCACTTATTTAAATAGAAGATGTGTCTTTGTCACCTCAATCCTTTTTCCTTTACACTGTAACAACACAGCCTTATCATCAAATCAGAAAAAAAGTGCCTGTCAGAGCTACTAACATTAGACAAAGATATAAAACCGAAATAATGACATTTTTAATCATAACAAAGTACTAAATCCAAAGATTTGTGGCCCAGGGGTTTCACACTGCTACATTACAGGCTGAATGCACCAAACTGCAGCATCCTCGTTAGTGACTCAGTCTCCACACTGAGAACAGGCTTAAGCTCCTTGGAGGGTTCCAGAAAGCTGTTACCAGTGTACCAGTTCCTACACAGGTTTAATTGTGTAGGACATACAGAGGCTGTTCTTTCTCTGGGTACCCTCTGGAAAAGAGCAGTGATGTAACCATATTGTCACCGTGCCTTGCCACATTGAAAGAGGAAGGAAAGAAGATTACTTCCATGCTCTAAGTCTGTAGTTTAAAGCCTCTTTGAATGGATATATTTGGAGCAGTGGGACTGAAATTTTAATACATACATTTTAAAGAGTATTTACTAAAATTGGTTGCTAATTTCCATAATAATAGTTAACGGTGCTGAAAAAAGAAATTTCCAAGTATGCGAAATGAAAAGGGAAATCCTAAAAAAGGAGGAACAAAAATTTAAATTCTTATGCCATAACCTGTTAACAAATACTAAGGTGACACACGTGAATATAATAACAAATAAATTAGTCTTCATATTGGTCCCTAAACTGAAATTGCAGAAATGTGATCAAAGTAAAAGCATCAAGCTAAGTAACTGAAACTCACAACTCTGTTGCTAAAAGTTTTGTTCTGAAAGGAGGATTACATTTCTTTTATCCTAAAAGAGAACTCTAGTCTCTTAATATGTCTCAAAAATAGTGTGGAAATAAAGAGTTTCAACTATGGTTCTGGACTTTTGCATTTTATGAAAATACGTGGTTATAGTCAGTTACAAAATTTAGAGCCTGTTCGGCTAACCTACAAAAATACTGTAGAAAAATGACATCTCACTGTACTGAGAAAAGAGGAGCATCTCCCATCAATTGCTGAGATGGCAGCCAAACTGCATCAGACCTTGATTCCCCGGTACCTGGTGGAGCTTCTGCATGAACCTCCAGGTTACAATACCTGTACCAGCAGCAGCACTACCTTTCCATTCAGCTAGGGAGCAATATAAACTCTAGGCATTCCCTTTGCATAGAAGCTATTACAGATACACAGTACCTTAGCAAAACTCTGCATTCTCAGTAATACCAGTTGTGAAGACTCTTTAAGTTAACAATATATTCAGAACACCTTGTGGAAGACTCATTTCAAGAGCTTGATATACCAAAAACATTTTGGAAAAAAAATGACTGGGAAAAGCAGGAACACACACAGCAAATGTAACCAAATGATATCAAGTAGTACATTTATTTCATATAGTAAGTCAGCTTCTGACAGTGAGATGTATTAGAATATAGTCTCTGAAGGTAAAGGGTGGAAGGAAGGCCTGTTGCTCAAGATACTGAATATTTGAACAGTGCCTAGCACAATGAGGTCCTGGTCCTTAGCTGGGGCTCCTAGGTGCTCCAGCAAAACAAACAGTTTAGGCTTTAGGAGATGGACTGCATAAGCAGTTTTGTAATGGTGTTCCACAACATGGGCTAAGTGACACCTAAGCAGACTTCACCTTTCAAGCTCTGCAAGAGAGAAACTTGGTCCAGCAGATCTCCAACTCCAGTTTTAGGATTCATCCACTATCTACCCACCCCTCTGTGCACAGTTAAAGTAATGTTCATTCACCCCACTGCAATATGGTGAGCCTCAAAGAGGAATGATTGATTCCATCTCAGTCACCACATATAAGAGGGCGGAAAAAAGAGCAGCTGGTCTCACCCTCTTCTACTCCAATAATTGACTCAGTGTCTGGCAGGTGCAGAGACTCAACACCAAGGCTGGGCTGAGAGTTCATGGAGATGAGATTCTTACTATGCACTGTTGATTCTTCCAGCAAACTGCTGCCCATCAGTGACTCTATTGCGAAAAAAAAAAAGGGTAAAAGAAAATTCCCATGATGCAATTACACTGCAATATATGATACAATCCCTGCCCCACTTCAAGTCATATTGACTTCTTCCCTAGACACCTACTTTATCCATTCCTACTCTTTGGGTAGCCAATGCTCCAATGGATAGAAAATACTATTTTTATTGTTTTGAACCTTAGTATGGTGGGATCTTGTGCAGGATTGCCTTTCTCTTTAAATAATTCACATTGTGTAAAAACCCAGGCTGCTTGCAACAAGAAAACATAACCAAAGGAAAAAATCCACATAAAAACCCCAACTAGATTAATATTGATTTTGAAAATAATAAACATATCTGCCCCTTGACCACCATACAAAAATACACCTTTGTCTTCTGTCCTAGAAAAGGAAAGGGTAAACAGTCTTTATCTCCAAGAGGAACAGACTTTTGTTTCTTACTCGCTTGTGGTCTCATATTATCAGGACAAACATCTTTTCTTCAACCATCCACTTATTTTTTTTCCTGTACTTTTCCCCCAGAGTGACTGTGCTCCCTGCTTTACCTGGCTGTTCTCGCTCCCTGCTGCCAGCTGTTCCAATTCGGGAGTGGTGTTTCCTCATATGCACATTTCTGCTACCACTCTGGGAAAATGTCTTCCCACAAATTTGGCACTGATGGGGCTTCACTCCTTGGAGTCAAAGGGGGAAGAAATATCCCAAGAATTACCAAATTGGGAGAAGTGACCTCATCAACTAATAACAGTTTTGAAATGGCTGTTAATACCACTGGTACTAATTTATCAGTAAAAACCGAATGAGAAGTGTTCCCATCTCCTGGAGGGTCATAAGCTTCTACAGCAGAAGAGGTTTAGATATCAGTAATGGCAGTTGTTGGATAACTCAAATCTAAAGAGTCACAAAATCTTCAAGTCAGATTGATGAGAGGGAACAAGTTATTTGAAATAATTTACTCATTGATATGGAAATACTTGATGTCCCACATATAGAATAAAATTACCAGAGGCAAGGAAGCTGTCTCCTGCCATCACACAACGAATTGCAGCATCTGGTTTACATTACTGAGCAGAGACTTGATGATGACTTGTCACTGTAAAAGGATTTTCATTTTACAGAGCAGTTTATCATTTTCACAATACAAGCATCCTGTCCATACTCCTTGACTCAGTGGCCTGGAAGCCATGGAGACAGGACAGAAAAAGCATGGAGAACTCAATCCCAAATGTTATTACCTCAATAAAATCTCCCATTCCCCAAACATACCATTTCCATTGTGCTGATGATATTTAAGATAGATCAATCAAAACAGAAGGCAGAAGCTTTGAAACACTTGTGAAATACATTTCCACCTAAACCTTTGTTCAATTACAAGTATGTAGTAGGAAAAAATAACAGAAAACCCTACCTGTGGCAGAAATCCACTTGAAAGAGATTTCAGATTCAAATGACTGTGGTTAATATACAGAGATGCTAGAGTCTCTTAAATAATCTAATGGCAGCTATGAAATATATTCACTTCATGACATTTTAGAAACAATTTTAAAAATAATTTTTAAAATGTAATTTGAGTTCAGAAATAGAAACAACCTAAAAAATTAAAGAGTATGGGGTGCAGGCACCATGAAAGGGAAGTCAAAAAACACTATGACCAGAAGTTCTGTATAAACCAGGATTTTTCTTAAGGAAATCAAATCAAAGTCCTACAATAAAGGTCTTTTTTCAGACAGATCACAGAATGTCAGATGAAAACTCTTACCTGAGTGGACAACCAAATGTTTCCGAAGACTGGAGTATTCAGCAAAGGAGCGACCACATCCCTGTGCCTGACACAGAAAGGGTTTTTCCCCTACAAGGGAAAAGTAAGTTCTTAGATTTTGGGATCACAACTTAATCTGATTGCTCAAGTCCCTGAGAACAGCCTGGACTCCATCTACTCCATTCTCCCATTTGGCCGTACGTATATCAGAGTTCCATGGAAATTGCACACCTATCCTTAACTTCCTAAGTCTTTTACAGCATTCTCTTCACCAGAGGAAACAGAGGCATTATTTTTAAATATTCTTAGACCATCATTCACCAAAAGTGAAGCAAGGGCCCACTGTTTCTAGATAATCTTCCAAGTATATAAATTTTAATAGAGTAATACAAACCTACTTGATCTATGATACATCTTCTATTTGCAGTTCTCAACAACCAGGTCTCGTTCCACACACTCAGAGGGTCCTGCTCCCTTTCTGCCTCTCAGTGCCAAAAATCCCATTAACTGTATTTACCTTCATATCAGATTCTATACTTTATATCAGATCAGGCTGATCTTGCCAAAATCCTGTGAGAGATGTGTCAGTCATTTATATCTATGTGAGGAGAAACTGTAATTCAAGGCACAAATTGTTCTCGTGGGCTGAAATTTATATCCCAGCTATTTTTGATTTATTTAAATTATGATAAACTGTGAGGTTACTACATTAATGCAGTTCAATAAAATTAATCTGTTTTGAACATTCTCTTAATAAAGCTAGACATAATTTTTGCCAACATCCCTCTAAAGAACTCAATATACCATGCTTAACACTATGATTTCAAGTCTTTAACTGGACCCCTGTACAAAAGTAATAGCAAGACCACAGGAAATTAAGCAAGCTATTTTAACAATTTATTGTACAAAATAGATGTAATTCTTTCAGAGTAAACTTGTTTTTAAAGGTATTTTTACTGTGGCTTTGCCTTTAGAACTCTTCTTCCCATAGCTCATTTATTAGCCTCTTATCTACAATGGCATTTGACAGCTGCAAGCAAAAAGGATCAACACAGCATGTTCCAATTGCTGTTACAAAGCTGAAATATTTAGCAGAGTCCCAAACACTTTTGTACTTTCTGGCTTGCTATAAATCTTTAGAAGTTTGGAAAAACTATCATTGACCTAAATAACAGTGCACAGTTCCATCTACAGAACACCCTAGAGCTATTTACACCTGCAATTTGATAACACCTTTGGTCTGATCAAACGCTTAATTACATATTATCCATTTGCAGTTTAGAAAGTTGCTATTCACTCCTCCAGAAGCTACTACTCTGCTGGTTACAGAACACTCTCCTATCAGTGAGGACTGTGCATGATCAGCTGGGCCTATAAAGTTAATCTGCAGCTTGGCTGGGAGCTGTAAGTGCAAAAGAAAACTGCAAAAAGTATAGCTGCTGTTACTACACATTCAAAATTTTATTATTGGTATACAGTTTTTAACTACATCCCAACATCTGCCCCCAAACCATGTGTTCCAGCTAGTCTGCACATACTTTAAAATAGCAGTCTTTTCCCATGTGCATTGACAAACCACATACCATACGGTCATGTTTAAGTAAGGCAGAAGGCACAAACAGCTGCTGGCGACCCACATAATCTGTAATTTCATTTTACCAGGGAGGCCTTGTTCTCTCATTCTTGTCAAGGTTATTTTGAAATGTTAACCAACTGTAATACAATGCTTGCAAGGCCATCAGGGAATCTCTAACAATATTCCAAGAAGCCTGAAATGGGCCATTTGTTTGAGTGTTGTGATAATCCTAAAGCTTAAAAAACTAAACAAACAAAATCACCAGTTTATTCACTATGAACTTTCCTGGTCATTAATTAAATTGCTGGTCACTATTATATTGCTGGTCATTTCAACAGTAACTTTTGTGCCTCTCTCAAACAACTTTATAGTACAAAAACACCTAAAACCCTTTGACTGCTATACCAACTTCTAAAAATACTGAAAGGCAGGATCATATTCTCCAGAGGAGCCATCATAAACAAACCATGTATAAAATACAGCACTGTGAAATAAAGGTTCTTGGTTTATTTACTATAAAAAGCTGAGCATGAATTGAGAGTACACAGGCTCCAGCATACACTAACATCCCAAATTACAATTGGCACAAACAGTAGTTTGCACACCATACTGCTGTATTCTAATTAATGCTTTTTTCTACTTTTCTTTGCTACTATATTTTTGCTACTCATTCTACTGCATTCCTCATTTTTCCGTATGTCCCAAATGTAGTCATTCTACAAGCAACATAGGTAACACAAGCTAGTCAGTCAGGCAGATGTCAGTACAGCTCCTACTATCTAAGCTATTGTGCCTTTCAGGAATTTCAAATAACCTCTTTATAAAACACTATTTCAGAAGTCATGTTCACTAACTACTCCCTAGATAACAGTCTAGTTTCACACACCCCTCCCTCCATCACATAACTGCAAGGGAATCTTCAGAATATGCGTTGGAACAGAATACAGCATCACCACACACCATTTGACAGGTTAAAGCCTGTGTGAAACTATACAGAATAGTAAGAGATTAGCACTTGATTTATCTGACCTATAGATCAAGGTGAATTGACAGAAAAGGGACATTAATGGAGGGCAGAGGTAAGCAACATAATACTTTCAGTAGTTTGAGGACAGAGGAGGAAGTGGTTTATTCCTCAGGAAAGACCCCACCTCAGCAGAACACAAATAGGTGAGGTCTAAAACACACCAGTGTGAATTCGTAGGTGGTTCTTCAGATTTCCAGCTGTTGTGAACTGTTTACCACAGCCCAGTTCTGTGCACACAAAGGGTTTTTCACCATTGTGAGTTCTCATGTGCACCTTCAGCCTCTGCAAGACGTAGAAACTTTTTCCACAACCTTCTGCTGGGCAGGTGAAGGAGCGGTCGTTACTGGAAAGCAACAAAAAGCCGTTTCATTGCCAGCTACTGCAATGCATTTTTTCATGAACACTTGACTTCTTTCTTTTATTAAATATCAGTACCTGTTAAAATACAAAAATTCTAAACCAAACATAACAAGTACCTGCAAAATAATATAAATCTAATTCAAGTTTTTCAGAATAATTGACTCAAAGCACTCAACAGATGTATTATTAATATGAATAATGCCAGATTTTCACAGCTTGTTAATGTCAAAACCTAACATTATCTCAAATAGACAGTGCATTTTTTCAAGGTCATAACCACAAATAGCTTCATTCTGCTCACCGGTGTGTTTTCAGATGATACTTGAAGTGAGCTGGCCATACAAATGTCCGATCACAACCCTCAACTGTGCACTTCAGCTTTCTTTCCACACGAGATAAATGAGGAATGGGGCTTGAATCTTTTGGCTGCCCATCTCCTGTGCAAAGATGAACATTTTCCCCTGGAAAAAAAAAAAAAAAAAGCCTACTGAAATAAAAAAAATATACAGATTACTATAACGTGTCAAATTTAATAGGAAAACCAGCATCATATATGATACAGGATTGTACATCAGGCATGTGTCTGGATACTAATTGTTTAGCATGTCCTATGCTGCTGCCTAGCCTGTAACAGGGTCAGACACAGACTTCCAACCCTACCAGGTATTCCTAACAAGCCATCTGGATCAGATCTGCTGCTACCAGATAAGGCTTATCACAAAAAGAATAGAAAGCCAATGCACCAGAAATTGTAAAAGTGGTCTCTATATCAATATCAAACAAGCAATTTTAACTGTCAGCCAACTATCACCTATTAGCTAAGCTGCTTTTAGAAACACCTCAGCTAAAATAAGAGATATTGCATTTGCATGCAATTATTTATTAAAATAATTAAGTCAGAAAGCATGTGACGAAATCCAATTATGAATTCTTCAGAAAATGGCTCTCCAAACACAGTAGAGCTAAAAAGAAAGTATAATTCATAGTATGTATTAAAAATAGGCTCTCAAAAGTGAAAATAAAAGTTGAAAAACAAGCAGCTGCATTCAGAAAGAAGATATTCTTTACATGTACTGGAGAACTAGTAGTCTACAATGAACAGATGGTTCCACTAGAGTTCATTCCCCAAGAAAACATGAGAAGCCTATTTATAATGAAGAAAAAAAGCATAATTGTTCTGTATCATTCTGTCACTGATTATTTGAAGATGTCATAACTGATTCAAAGCAAGAGAGAATTAAAGAGAGGAAGAAACAATGTGAAACTAAGGGTCTTGTATAGAACATTCAACTTTTGAGACATAATCTGTGGATCTCCTACCATTATTGCTTGCTTTGGCATTCTTTGCGAGCTGTGCCCGAGTGGCAGCAATTAAACTGTCATGGGCCAATTCTTGCACTCGTAGGAACCATGGAGTACTGCTGTCTGTGCTATCGTGGGAGAGAAAGTCATTGCCAGAATCTTCTGCTTCATCTTGAACAAACACCAAGTGCTCTGCGGGAGACCCCAGCCCTAGAAGAGAAGACAAATTTGTGAAACAATAATGTAACAGAGGGAAATTTCTTTTGCTTCTCAGAGATTAGTGTTCATAGCATGGATGAAATAGCTGCCCCGAAAAAGTCTCCACTGATCTCTAAATTGTAGAAAGGTGTTGATGACTAAATGCTCTGAAAATATCCAATAATGCCCAGCAAATTTCATGATCTTTCCTCTTCATAAGCAGCAGGGAGAGAGTTGTACTTGTATCTCCGGCATTCTGCTGAGACATATCCAGCCAGATGACAAACAGAAGGACAATTACCTGCTCTTGTTAGATTGAGAAGAATGAATGAAGTGCTGTCACTAGGCTGGAAGTCTTGCAATAAATTAGAAGTTTCTGGAGTTGACAGAAGTTCAGATGGTTTCTGTACGTTCTGTGCCCTTGTTTCCTCTTCATCAGGGCCTACATTTACCTGGAGACTTCTCAAGACAGCAGATGAAGAAACATCTTTGGAAGAATTAGTGTGACTTGGAGAAGTGAGATCTCTTTCATCATCTAATGAGGGAAGTGAAACCAGAGTAAATAAAAGTATAAATACGCTATGACTAAAGGACACCTATGAAATTATTTTCCTAAGAAAAAAGCCCCAGAACTTGAGAGAGAAGGGAAGAGGAAATTTCTAACTAGTCAGAATTCACTATTAAATGAGAAGATTCAGTCACTCTGCTGAACTTGTTCCTCCATCCCTGGAATGTCTTATCAGCAAGAAACAGTGGGACCAGAGTGGTGAAGTAAAGACAGCTGTATGAAGGGCAGGGTCACAAAGATCTGCCACATAGATTTTACCTGGCAACATGAGTCTGTTGCATTCTGAGGTCTCAGTAACAGGAAGCAGAGAGAGACAGGTGATGTCTTTTGGTTCTGATTCCACTAGTTCTTGTCCCAGTGGAATAGAAGTATTTTGAACAAACTGAACCAGCAGCTGAAAAAACATACTGAAGATTAGGAAAAGAGCAGCACAAATAATTTAAAAATATACTAAATCCAGTCAATCTAGTAGTCCCTACTGTCTTGTAGGAGACATTGAATATAATACCATGAATACACACAGATAAAAACGGAAACTTTTCAATTTACATTAATACAAGGAAAGAATTGTTATCTCTGAAATACCTACAAACTTCTCATTCAACATATAATAAACAGCTCTGGATCATTGCAAAGTAAGTCAAGTTAGGCTATATTTATTTTTAATTAATATTTTACCATTTGATACTTTATTATGGTCTAACATTTCAAGGTAATGCTTTCCACACTCAGCCTTTGGTACAGGTTTTTTTTTTTTAATTATTGTGTTTAAATGCTTAACTGAAAGCTGGCCTTTTCTAAATTAAAAAAGGCAATCAGAAGACTAGTTACAAAGATGTCTATCATATGGGTATTCAAAACAAGCAGATAACAATCAGAGAAACACGGCTGGGATGACAAAGGGAAGAACACTGACAGCCTCACCCATCCAAATCAATGACTCATAAAACCATCAAAGATGGACAACCAACCCACCCAGTAAGGGGATTACCAGAAGAAACCCTCTCCAAAATACTACACGAAACAAGAGGGACTATTGCATAAAGAGGTATAGGACTTAAACTGAGATACATTCCCTGGGGAGGAATTTGGGACTGGTCAAAAGATTTTGAGGGATTTGTACAGGACTTATTAGGCATTGTTTAAGGGAAAGGCCAAAGGGAGGAAAAGGAAAGGATCAAGATGGATCAAGGCAGAACAAACGTAAGAAAATGGAGAGGGAAGGATAAAAGGGGCCCACTGCACATAAGCAGGAAGTTGGTCAATTCAGTTGTCTGGCACAGCCTAAGTCTTGCACTCCATCCTGTCTTCTTATTAAACTCCATTCTTACCTGCTTCCTGTGTGGTCCTGCTCTCTACAGTGGGTCTCTAGAGGCGCACACTAATTTCCAGTGCGTGTCATATGCTAATGAACCCCAAGACAATCTAGTTAGCAAGTGAAATGAGAAGTGTGAGGATAGATCCCAAAGAAGTCCATGAAGGTTTTCCTTAGGCAGCAACCCTTGAACACAGAATCAGGTACTTTGTGCTGCCCATGTTAATGAGGATAAAGCTACAAGCACTCAGTCTGTGTTAATTTTGATTTAACAAAGGAAGTGGTGCTGGGAGTTAGGAGATAACATAGTCCAACTTTTGCAATGGACTGAACAAATTCTGTGAACTGCGTGAGCTTTTTAAAACATGGTCTCAAATCTCTCCCCTGAAGGGATTTACACTTCAGAAAGACAAAAGGTGGCCAGTTGTAACACACCCAGACCATACTCCACATTTCAGAGAAAATACTGCTCGAAACCTCCATGTAGCATCTATTTGTTTGCCTTTAAGTTCTGTCAAACAAATTAACTCATGTACTTGCATTGTCAGGGATTTTTTTTTAAACACTGAATGAAGAAATATGGACACTAACAATACACTAAAAAGTTAAACCTCAAGTTTCTTATTTCTAGGAAACTCCTTGACAAAAATCCTGCATTCTGATGCTGTCTAACAAACAACTGTATGCAGCAAACTTTTATCTTTGGCATTTAGAAGGAAATTGTACAAGACAGTTATTTAAAAACTACTACCCTCCCTCATTGTGACACATTTTAACATGCAGTCACAGAGAGCCTAGATGGAGTTGTCTGTGCAGTGATATAGTTCATCAGTGTCAAAAGAAAAACACTAAAAATCCTGATGTGCCCATTGTATATTTGTGATTAAAACCCAACAGTCACAGATAATTTGATTCTTATTTTGTATGTTGTGATTGCCTTAGTACTTCCTTTTCAGAACTATTGGCATCTAATTCCAAATTATTCCTGTAGCAGCCAGCAGCCTTTTGAGTGTCTCTTACATCAAGAGAAAGCCTTTTAAATAAGGGAACTGTAAAGAAAACAGTATTTTGTGCTCTGATTTCTCTATGCTCATTTCCTCTCAGAAAAACACTAGAAACACTGATGTTTTCTCAAACACTACCTCGAAGAGCTGCTGTAGGAACCCTGAAGCTTTACCAGCCCCGATTGGTCTCCCTGGGACCTGCACTCACACTGTCTCCCTAGGGCCTCCTTTTATGCTCAGCCTGGGCCAGTCATTCCCTTCCCAAGTTGTGTTGTAGGTTTACCTGTCTCAAGACCTGTCTACTGGATGAACCTCAGATTTCTACTGTGTCTCCAACCCCATCTTCTGCTGCTCCTACCTGGACTCTGGATAGACTCTGGACTGGTTAACCACTTTGCCTTATCCAGGACTGAGGGCTGTGGATTACAGCACCTATTTCTGCCTTCCATGCTCAGGTGCTGCAGTATTGTGCCCTGCTCTATGAGGGCACTGCCTGGGCTGGGATCATCCTTGACTCCCTGCTCACCCTCCCTTAGGAGCAGGCTGTCATCACTGACAATTATGAAGCTACAAATTAAGTCCTGCAGTCATTCAGATGGCAATGTGCCATTCGAACTAGGCCACAAGCCAGATGGCAGTTTGAAAGGTTAGAATTGTTTCATCTTAGATATAAGATTATCCAGAGGACCTAGCAAGAAGATGAATCTATTTTTATGTTGTCAAAAAAAATACATAGGCAATAAGAGACAGTCTCCTCCCCAGGGCCATGCATTCTAATTAAGGATTTTAAAAATAGAAGAAAGGGAAGTAAAAAGAGAGTTAGGAATAATGTGCAAGGTAACCAGAAAGAAGAAGTAGAGACTAAACTGTGAGCACTAACATAGATCTAAATTATTAGATTGTCTCTCATGCTGATGAGCCCTACTGCTTCTTACTCCACCATGAAACACCTGTTTTATGGACTTGCCTATTTTTATACAAAAAGACCTAAATGAAACTTGCCTCCTTCAAGAAGAAAGCTTTGCTTCAAACCTTCCACTTCAACATAGCAACATTAAGCCACTAGAGAAAAGCAAAATGCAACAACCAGAAACAGATGTTCAGAAGAAATAAGTTCCTTTTAATTTGCTTTGTAAAGTAATGACAAACTAGTACAGAGAATTATGAGAGGTCAAAAAAAGCAGAAGGAAACAAACCAACATGAATCATGCCCATTATTAAAATGTGAAGTAAAAAAAACTCAATCCTTCAAATAAACTAAAGCAAACCAATCATCAACTCAAATAATTCAGACAAAATAAAAAGTTTTCATGTTAGTTTTATCTTGACAGATTTTTCCTAAACTTTCCTGTTCAAAATCATTGAATACCTTTGTGGACTACAAACTACAGCAAGTTGAATAGAAAGAACTCATTAGAAACATTGTGTCATGCTGTCCCAAGCTTCTTGCAATATGGTTTTGCAGCTGAAAGTAAATAGGAAATTATAAGGGTATCTGGTAATTGGCTATTCAGCAGAGAAATCTATGAAAGAATAGGTTATACATTAAATGCACAGATACACAAACACTAACAAACTCTAGCAAACTGCAGATAGGAGAGAGTAAAAATATCCAGAACTCCTAGGACACTGATGGATGGGCCAGTACAGGAATAACTTGAGTGTGATCTTGAAAAAAATTCAACCAGAAACTTTGTAAGGAATAGGAACAATGTTATCTTGGGTTACCAGAACCCATATCTCATCTGCAAGAGCAAACTTCCTATGGGACATGGGGGAAATTCTGGGACTGGGTAAAACATATCCAGGTACCTTGAGTGGAAACTGTGGGACTGTGAGAAACTTATGGATATTTAGGGGAAGGATCAAAGGCAAGGAAATGGAGGGATCAAGGTAGATAGGAGAGAAACAACTACTGGGAACAGAAAGGGGATTTGGGATAATACTGGTTACCACATTAGCAGGCTGCTGCCCTGCATCACCACTGGAGTCTACCTCATCCTCTCTAATGCTTTCTGCTCCTAAATGGTTTCTGAGTACATTCATTTGATTAAATTCACTTTTGCATAGCCTGTGAAATAGAGAAAAACACAATCTGGATACCCAAGATCCTGGCCAGAAGCTGAATTTAAAAACCCAAGGCCTGGATATAGATAATGGAAGGACTCGAGGTTTGGCAAAGAGTGGACAGATAAACAACCACAAGTATGCATGTCAGCCAAGGGAGGACATGTGTGATATGCCAGTAAATGTCAAACCTTTTTACCTGATAAGCAGGAACAGGATCAGGCCATTTGTGACCTTTCTTTTCCAGGGGAATGCCATTTGTGTTTGAGTGTGCTGGTAAAAGCCCTATCCTGCCACAGCCATAATGTCTGTACTGTCTGTGTGTGCACAGGCATATTTTGGCAGTTCAGGCCCAGGTGCACTTCTGTGTGCACCTGGGAACAGTCTGGTGGTCTCATGTCTGAAAGACTAGGAAGGCAGGAACCTCCCAGATTATACAGTTTGACAGATCCCATAACCAAAAAACATTTGGCATCACAAACAGGCCCCAAATGGGCTGTAAATATTCCTGAGATGGTGATTGTAGAATCCCTACATAGGGAAGAGACTTATCCACTATGATTGAAGTGCTAGAATTTGTAAGCAAAGCAGATAGGTCATCTTGGGACACTAGAATAGTTGTAGTTAGGGAAATTGAATGCACAGAATATTAAGAGAATACCGAAGGAACAGTAAGAGGTGTGAGGTGGATTTACTCTATAGCTAAGACATCCCATGGAATTTGAAATAAATCTTAATATTGCAAAAAGACATCCTTGACTTAAGAGATTCAAACTTTATGGGACAGACGTGAATCATACCAAGAGAACCCATAATCCTTGGAGGGCAAAGTTAAAGTGCATCTTGATATAAAGGATTTTATTTTTGCTCTGCCATATCACCTTCTTGAATATACCCTCCTTTAACTACTTCAGCTGAAATGTCACATAACTGAAAATCCTGTAAATAATACAGACAGTGGATGTATTAAAAAATGTAAAATATTTCTTGGCTGTTGTCACTAAGCAGATACTTGTTATCACTGTTGGTCAACAAGAAATGGTTGGACAGGATTATGCCAGGGTCTATCACTGCAAGCAATGCAGAATGCTTGCATTACCAAGAGACTTGAATAATGTCCCTGACCTGAGAGGAGGAAAAAAAAAAAAAAAACCTACAACAAACAACAACCAAAAAACTGTTTAAAGAACTGAGAACCTCTACTAGAAATCCTTAACAAAATAAAAAACCCAAAAAACCCAAAAAAAACCACCTCAAACCAAAACAAAGAAACAAAAACAAAACAAAAAAAGAAAAACACAAAACAAAACCAAAAAAACCCACAAACAACCAAACCAGAAACAAATGATGATATGGCCACCTGGGATGCATCATCTCAAGTTTGTCCCATAATAGATGATTCAAAAGCCAAGAAGTGTCAGGCAGCTGCTATAGCTGAAGTAGGGGTTGCTGGGAGGGACAGGGTAAGAAGGTTCTCCAGAACCTCAGATCTATCCTCCCACTAGACAGCTGGAGAGCTAGACTAGATTCCCAGAGCAACCATGTCTTTAATCAAAACCATTCCTGTTCTAAATTTAACCAGTAGACCACAACAAAATAAAGAGGTCAAAAGAAAATTGAGTGGAGGGGGAGGAGAAAGGAGGGGCTGGAGCTGAAGGGTGTGCAGGGCAGAAGGCTTGTTACCTAGGAAGTGGGATGTCCTCCTCCCATACACCCTCTGGGAAACTAATTAAATCACAAGCGTCTCTCCTTGTGAGGCACTGAGGAGGAGAGAAAGGAGAGGCTAAAATACCTCTCTTCACCCCCTTTTCAATAACTAACTCCATTTACAGAACAGAGTTATAACTCATTTGATTGTGCTAAGAGTTACCCCAAGAGCAGAAAGCACCCCGCACTGGACCAGTATGGTGGAGGAGACTGGAAATACATGCAAGTGTAATAAATCACCTTGAAGGCTTAAAGCACGCAAAATGCAAATCTTAGCAGTTCCATGAGGAATGATAGTTACAAAGCTTTGGGGGCAGGGAGTCCAGAAGAAAAAGCAGATCCATCTGTTCATACAATAGTCTCCAAGCAACTTTGTAACTTTCTATGAAAGGAGGATTCACCTCTACTCAAGCATTAAATATTTAATGGTATGTTGGTGGCTTCTTTAGGGATAAAGCCAGTAGCAAAGAAGCCTATGCAATAGAGACATAGTGCTTTGATTGTTATTATCCACATGTCACAGAAATACAGCTAGCTCTTAATATATGTCTCACATGGTAGGGTATATGAAAAAACATCTGTGGCTATAAGAATTTGTGGTGTGATGCCATGCCTCACTAGAGGATGTAAAATCATTATTTACTTTCAGAGACATTTGAACTGCTACTTGGGAAAAGTGTAAAAAGAGTATCTACCAGTACTATTTTCTATTGCTTTGATGTGAAACTAACTTAACACGCAAGTTTCATAATCAGAACTAAAACAAAAGGGTAGTATATATGGAAATAAATCAAAATTTTTAGTATAAAATAGCCTCGATCAAGATTGAGGAACATAGTTTAGAAGACAGCATCTACAGAAAGGATGCCCTCTGCAACATCCACTATAACTTTTTTTATTTACCAGGCCTGTTTCTTCTGGAGAATAAACAGCTAACTTTTATTATGGGCTTGCTGGGAAGGAAATGCAACTCTGCCATGAGGAAATAGGACTACTATGTAAACAAGCCTAATTAATAAATACTTTATTCATGTCGAGAAAAGACAAGGCCCAATTACAGCTCTTACTTGAGGAATGAGCAATGAGCATTCCAACTGTCCTGGTCCTTGGCTGTCAGAAATAATCTAAGGGAACCCACCCATTCATAGACAAAAGTAACAAAGCCCTCCCACCTTATCATTCAGAACTCAGAAGAATATTGAGGCAAGAGAGAGGAACACTTTGCAGATTGTGCTGAGACTACTCAGAGCTGCTATGAATTTGCAGCTACTTTTCCTGAACAGTGTGATTGGAAGGGCTTTGGCTGCTTTATTAAGAAACAAATGCCTTAACACATCACATGAGCTGTAATGCATTACCAGTATGTAATTGTCATTCTTTTTAGAGTACCAGTTTAAGATACATACTGTATTGCTTATAGGGATAGAAACAAGACTTAAAAACCATTCAATTAAGTCTTACAAACTTCCCCAAAACGTATTTCATAGCTGTACTATGTCCTCTGCTCTAGGACATTAGCCATCTGCAGAGGTAAAGCTGAGAACCACGAAAAGCAAGAATACCAAGTGATAACAACCCCTGCACCTTTAAGTGGGGAAATGAACAGAGAGATAACTAATGGCCATTCAACCTGAAAAATGAGTTAAGAAATAGGAGAGGCAGCAGGTGGTGGTGGTGTTGAGTGTAACAAATTGCAGACACTTGTAGCTAGCATACTACAGGTAAGAGTAACAAAACCCAGAACTTCTCAGCAACTGATTAGTGAGCCCCTGTTAGAGTGACATCTTGTAAACGTTCAACCAGAAATTTTAACTAAGGAAAAAAGCTATTATGGCTTATCAGAAAGGGTCTCATAGAACAGACCAACTTACTATCCAATATAACAAGGACAGCAGGATGTGTTAAGTTTATTATGCTGTGTGTAGGAGGAGGATCACAGGAGGACTCAAGGCAGATAAATGAAGAACCAGGTGTAGGGGGGAGAGAAGAGACTCCAAACATATGTTTGCTGGCTGCTAGTCAATACATTGCTGTGCCTGATCACTGCAGTCCCCTCCTATCTAATTACCAAAGACATTCCTAAATATTCTCCTCACAAGCGAGTCCACTGCTAGTGAGCTTCTAGTTTACTACAAGTAGGAGGCTACCACAGTCTAGAAAAAAAAAAAAAATCAAAAATTATTCCAGCCAGAAAGTGGCTTAAAAGCCCTGGATCTGGACAGAACTGCAGGCCTGGCAGAGACCATGAGAATGTGAGTATGCAAGAGAGTCAAGTAATGAGGGTACAGCTATAGCCCACTATACAGCCAATACAGCTATAGCAAACCATGGCTGTTCATGCTTTCCCTGCACATAATGTGTATGTTCATGTTTTACCTGTGGTTGTGGCCAGCTGTGCATACACAAACGTCCCTGCAATTCATGCCCAGCTGAACCTGGAACAGTCCAGCAGCTTCACACCGAGCAACTGGGATCCCCTGTGTGCTGCTGCCTACCACTTCTGCCAACTGCTTAATGGAAACAGGAGTACTTTGAAGAACAGGACTGGCTGATGCTGATAAAATAATCGAGATTGTCCAAAACCAAGTAGAGTCAATTTGGTTTGACGGAAAGAAATACTCAATTTATTAATCTATTTTATTCTCATAACAAAAGAGTGCTGTAATAGTGGAAAAATATGTAATCTGAGAACAGGCAAGAATATTGGCTGATACTTGAAAGGAGGTGAAAGAAACTTGCAATATTTTCTACTTTTTTACCATTCAAATCAAAGCATGGAAGCATTAGCAAATGTCACTGAAAACACTTGGAAAATTAGTATGTAAGCAGCAATCTGAGTAACTCATGAGCTCTAAGTGTTGCCTATAAACGTTCCTGGGAACCAAACTCAGTTCATAATTGCTCACCTCAGGTTTGGATTCTAACTCATCCGATAACATTGATTCAAGTGTCCAACTCCTGCAGCTGTTCTCAACAAGGCACAGATTTTTTTAAATTTTTTTTTTTTTTTTTTTTTAGTTCAGAGAGGACAACACTCCCTGTTTATGTTCATATTTTCCTAAGTGCAAACCAGTGTGGTGGTCCTTCTGCAAGAAGCTCTGCTGCGGAAATAATTAATTTAACCTAAAACAACAAAAAAGGAAACAAAGAAAGAGGAACTGAAAAACAAGAGCAAAGCAAAAAGAAGTGAACGTGTTGATGCAACTGTAAAATATACATTGAGGTATCAGTAAAATTCATTAACTGAGGTTTCTGGATTTCTGTTTTCACTGAATCAACAAAATAGCCTTTAAAAATTAATTTCACGATGTTATTTACCATATTTTGTTTGCAATCACTAATTTTTAATGGATAATTGCCTAATTTGTTCTGGAAACTTATGGGATCAACTGCAAATCACATAAAGTATTGAAGATATGAGGAAGCTGAATTCCCAGCCCACGACACAGTGGAATTATCCAAATGACTGATAAAAAGGAGCCATATACAAACAACCTGTCAGCAGGAAAGATCAGTTCTTCCTGTCAGTCGAGATATTTCACAGAATCAGAAATTTAATTTCTTGATGAGCCCAGATAAATAGAACTTATTTCATAAATACCCATGTGATGCTTGTCCTAAAAGGGGAACGGGAGAACAAGCTTTTCTTGCCTGCTGGGAAAACACTCAGACACTACTGATGGGAGAAAAATGTGAACTACATACAGGTTTTTCCCCTTCCCAACACAACTACCAATCTACTACGTTAAAAAGTAACGAGAATCAGCTGGATCAGCTTAAAAAAATAACCTAAAAGCCTTCCTCTCACACTCTGACAGCAGCACAGAGCTTCACTTGCCGTACAGGGGCAAGACACCACACACAGCGAGCGCAGTGACCGAGCCCTCCGCACGCAGCGGGCCCGGGCCCGGCCATCCTCCCGCGTCCACCCGCTGCCCTGTCCGCCCGTACCCGGCAGGGCGGGCCCCGAGTGACCCACGGGGACAAGGGCCAGCGCCGCCAGGCCCGGCTGCCCACGCCCCGGCCGGGAGGAGCCCGGCGCAGGCCGGGGAGGATCGGGGGCAGGGCGGAGCGCCGAGGCCCGGCGGGGCAGGTGCCACCCGCCCCAGGGCGCGGGTCCGGCCGCAGCCGTGAGGGGCGGCCCCGGCAGCGGGGACAGGAAGAACAGCAGGGCCGGAGCGTCCCCCGCGCTCCGCGGCTCGCTGGGCTCCCGCGCCCCACAGGGGTCAGCAAGTCCCGCAGGAGCGGCCGAAGCACCCCCAGCACCCACCTTACCGGCATCTCCGCCGCCCGGACGTGACGAGCCCGGCCGGAAATACCGCGCGGCTCGGGGCGGGGCGGCGCTGCCGCCCGCCGCCGGCTGTTTCAGCGCCCCCGAAAAGAGAGAGCGGCTCGGTGCTTGGGGTTTTGCCCCGGTTCCGCTGGAAACGTTACCAGGACTGCAGTCTTTAGCTGTAGCCTGATTCCTCTTCAAGTAAACCATTTTTATAAGGATTGTTACTGTACAGGTGAACATTATGCCGGAACCTTATGGAAACGTTCAGTCTGCCGAGCTTCTTTTTTCTACATAAATCAACACTGAAGACGCATTATCCCAGTTTGTTACAGCACATGTGGAAACACCACATGTGGTTTCCTACTAATACTTTGTTTCTGCTTTGCTCTGACTTGCTGCTTTGTCTGTTTCTATCACCAGTCTGCAGCTGGTGATGGAAAACTCCAAGAGTTCACTGTAGCTCACAAAAAACATATACCAAGTTAGTAATTCCAGAGACATACATGTCTTTGCAATGTACCTAATAAAATAAGAAAGGACTAAGTAATTTAAGAACCTTGCACTTTAGTTTTAGCTCTTTATCTGTATGTGACCAGCACCTGAAGAAGTTGGCAGTCTCTGGTCTTTACATTAGCAGCTGAATCAGTGACCTTCAGGTCCTGTAAACTTTAACTCGGTTATGCCTAGCTCGTAGCTTCGAAGCCATATGTGATTCCTGACTTCCATGCCAGCATAGCTGCTCGTGGCACACTCCTGGTGCGGTGCTGATAGGCAGTGAAAATGCTGGTGAGAGGGAAGTAACCCAACAGCAGCTGTCAAGGCTAGCAAAATCAGGTTTCCTGAGGCTCCCTCAGAGCACAGCCTCTTCTGATCCACGGTGGACTGTGAAAAAACCTGTGGTCACTTCTTGGTAAATGGCTGTCATCTCTTGCCTCAAACTACTTTGGAATGTTTTTTTTTTTTTTTTTTTTTTCCAGCCCCTCCAAGATGTGCAATATGGCTTCACTACTTTTCAGAACATTTGAAAATTTGATTTGCAGCATAAAGATTTGCAGTTATCTCCCTCAGCTTTAAATGTTCAGTGAGTGGCTTAATGGAGGAATCATACTGACAGCCTAGTGCTTCAGCAAAAAGACTATTGACCAGCTACCTGCTGGAGTCACCTGGTAGCTCCATAAAGTCTGCAAGCAAATTAGATGCATGTCTTTTTCTGAGGTAATTATCCCATCCACTTGCAGGCATTGCATTAATACTAACAAAAGCCTGCATTGTGAAATCAATTTTCAGTCAAACTGAAGCACATTTCTGCTGTACAAGGCAGGGAAAATTGATTCAACACCCAGAATCAACAGCCTCAGAGACTGGGCCTGCCATACTGGCCTTGCAGATGGATTCTATCAGGGAACCTAGAAAGTCTGGCATTTATCATATTGGACCACTCAGCCACAGTTGTGGTGCCCTGAAGCTTTAGACAGATTCATTTATTTAAGCCTAAAAAACTGAAAGTAATAGCTTCTGAGACTGAATTTTTAAACACAAAAAGCTGGAGCTCATTAAATGGCCATGCAGCAGTAACAGAAGACCATTTCACTGTACTGTTGAGGAATATATTCAGTGCAGGTAGCTTGGTTGCAGCTGCAGTGTAAGCTGCAGATTGAGATCTCTGGATGACTGGAGTCCTAGGCAAGAGGCTGTGAACTGCCAACCCTTTGACAAGCTCAGGGGCCTGTGGCCCAACCAGGTGACCAGACACTCAGAGACATGGCAGGAGCCAAGGACCCCCAAACATTCCCATGCTTAGACTGTGAGGGTATAAGAACCCAGGGTTTCCTTTGTTTGGGGTCCCAGCTCAAGCTGTTGTTTAGTTATCTCATCAAGATTGAATTATTTTAAGGATCGGAACCAGTGAGACTCTGCTATGGGAAACCTGGCATTGAGATGGTAAGGAAACCTTGTCTGACTGTGTGAGTATGAGGGTGCGTGGGAAGTCAGGCTCACTGGAGCTACTCACTGGGAAGGGATTTCGGTCCCAACTTAGGTGGTGGGAGTGTGACTGCCAGAGTAGACAGGAAAGTTTCCCTAACACAGCATGCCATTGTATTACTGATCCAATATAATCCAACAAAAGTAACAATAAATGCAGAACTACTAATTTCATAAACCAACTTTTCTTGATGCTACTTTGGTAATCCAAAGGAACTGAATCACAAAGCTTGATGCTGTTTTATATTAAGATACTCAGTAATCTTGGAAGTCCTTTGACTCATCACCAGCTCAACAATGGGGAATTGTTGAGTAGATACTAAAATATGGAGACATGTAGGCGCATAAGTTCCTTTCATTTGCATCCTTCTAGGCCAGATGAGTTTGGCTGCTTCAGAACTTGCATCTTGACTGCCTGGGGAATTTTGGTGGAATCTGCAGTGGGAATAGCACAGCACTTACCTGAGTTGTTTATGCTGGTTCAAATCACTTGTGCAGGTGTGTGAAGTAGTACTGGTCCCTGATGAGAGAACTGACTGGGAATTTCCTGTAGTCTTACTTTCATAGTAACATCTGTCTCTACAGGCTCCTTTTCTCCAATCAAGGGGAAATGGAATACACATTTCCCCCAGGATCAGCTGCAAGAAAAGATAAGAGATGTTGTTTTTTCACCCCTGCTGTGAGACAGCAAAAACGGCTAGTCATGGAGTAAAGGGAGAGTGGTGGTTTAGATTTGGTTGCTAACGAATCTGGTTATAATGTGTGCTTACTCTGTACACAGAGGAGTCTAGACTTCATTTCTATTAACACATCTTTTATTATTTTGTGTATACATTTCTGAACACTCGTATATAAAGTTGTTACAGAAACTGTGTCCATTATTCCAAGATACTGTACTCAATTTTATTTCGGTAAGTTTGGGTTTTTTTAATTATAAAAATGTATGCAATTATCATCACTTTGTTGTTCAGCCTTTACAGCATCAGCACGTAACAGACTTTTAAATTCTCTCAAAACTCTGTATGTACAGAAGTCACCCTTACACACCTACAGCGGATGTTGATACGGGCGTTATAAAACCGCGTGAGATTTAAGAAAGTGAGAGTACTAAGATTTGGAGCATTTTCTCCTGTATCCCCCCAGGCTCGCAGCCGGTTCTGTCACAGGTCGGACTGCCGCGCTCCACCTTTCCTGCGTAGTCAGCGCCTTTCCCGCGGCAGCGGCAGGAATGCTGCTGAGGTAATTTTGCTGGCTCAAAGGCGTACGTGCGGTCCCATACGGGCCTCGGCGCCGCCGCCACCAGACATCACCAGACACCCTTCCCAAGTTTTCCTAAACACCGGGCGCGCCTGGCGGGGGCCGTCCCGCGCCTGCCCCCCTGCAGCGGCCGGCGCTCCCCCTGTGGAGCCCGCAGGGGCCGCGGTCCCGGGCCGCGCCCCGGGCAGGAGCCTCCGCCGCACTGCGTTGGGAGCAGGGCGGGGAGCGGGGGGGCCGCGCCGCCGGCTCGGGGAGGGGGGGGTGCACGGCCAACGTCCCCCGCGGGGCGGGCGCGCCGGCTCCGCCTCCGGTCCACCGCCGGCACGTTCCATTTTCCCCGCGGGGGGAACCCTCCTCCCTCCGCCGCGGCGGCTCCGGCCGCCCCGCAGAAACGGAGCGCGGCGCCGGCGGTGAATTCCTTCACACGCCGTCTTCAGGGCTGGGTGGTCCGGCCCACGTCTCCCCGCCGTACCGGGCGGTGGTAGCGGCCGCTCCGCCCCTTCGTCTCCCCCCGCCGGCGGCGGCACGGGTGGTGCGTCCCGGCAGCAGGCGCGTCCCGGCCGGCGCCCGCCCCCCCGCGCCGTGTCATTGATGTTGTTGTTTGTGTCGCAGGAGCCGCAGGCCAGGCCGGGGCCGCCGCCCGGGGCCGCCGCCGCGGGGCTGGGGCCGGCGCCAGGGATGTCGGTGTGCGGGGAGGCGGTGGGCGCCGGCTCCCTGCCCAGCGAGCTGGTGGTCCACATTTTCTCCTTCCTGGCGGCCCCCGACCGGCTGCGGGCCTCGGCCGCCTGCTCGCACTGGCGGGAGTGCCTCTTCTACCCGGCACTCTGGCCGCGCCTCCGCCTCAGCCTCCGCGTCTCGCCCGCCGAGCGCCCGCGCCTCGAGTTCCTCATGCGCAAGTGCGGCTGGTTCGTCCGTGAGCTCCGCGTACAGTTCTCCGCCGACAACTACCCCACCGGCGGCGGCGGGGCGGCGGCGGGCGAGGGCGCCGCGGTGGCGGGGGACGGGGAGGCGCCGCCGCTCAGCCCGCGCTGGCTCGACCTGCTGAGGACATACCTGGAGCTGGTGCTGTGCGTCCTGAGCAGCGTCCGCAACAACAGGTACCGCCGGGGGAGCGGCGGTGCCGGCCGTGGGGACAGGCGGAGCCCCCCGAGCCGCGCGGGGCCGGGTCCGGCGTCTCGCCGGTTCCCGCGGGCGGAAACAACGCCCGAGCCGGCCCCGGCCGGTTCGTGCTGGGGCTACGCTCGGAGCTGCTCTCTGTGTGTACGTGTGAGTCTGTGAGCTGGGCAGGAACGGGGACGCGCCGCTTCAAACTACCCAATTTTTTTCATATAGTGTAGCTTGAGGAGGAATACAAACGCTCGGACGTCCAGTTGGCGAGTGGCTGGTCGATACGCAAAACAAATACAGCTGCAGTAATAAAAAGTTCTTAATCTTTCAGATGGACGCGGGGAATGCAGCTCGAACGGAGCAAGTGAGAGCCAGGAGTCTGAATTTACTCCATAACAAGACAGCTTTCTCACTTAAAATAAGCCTTACTACGGCCAGAGTTTAGATCTTGTGTATGCTTGAAAAAAGTATGTCACGAGAAACTAGTAGTGGGGAGTTAAAATTACAGCTCTGGTGCGCTGAATTACTGCCCCAATAAAATACCTTCACCTTTCCAGCTATGAAGTCTTTAGCTGTAGAAAAGCTGAGCTGTCATGCCACCTCTCATCTGACCTGCTTATCTGAGGTTTGAGGAGGTTTTAGTTCTCTTGTTTATTGTAAAAAATATTCACGTGTAGGACTTTTTCCTGAGGTTTGTATTTAAGATGTGTTTTTCGCACACTTACATTGGCAGGTTAGATAATTTCCTCAGGAAAATACTTGCATTTTCTTCACTGTGTGTGGGTGTGATAGAGATGCTAAGATGATAATCAGATATCCTAATATATTGCCTCTAGTCAGTATGTAAGACAGGAAAGCAAGGATATTACATTTAGGTTATGATGAGTTTGGAAAGCCATGCAGGATTTAGGATAGGAAATAGTTAATATTATTTCCCTTCTATGTGCATATGGCTTCACCTATCAAGGGAAGAAAAAAAGCTGCAAGTGTTTCAGGGCATCTTTAGGATGAATTAAACATTGTGGTTGGCCTTTAGAAAACTGTCTGCAACTGAGTCATGATCTTGTTACCCACCCCTTTTGATTCCAGAGGTATGAGAGAGTAGCTTGAGGCCTTCTGGTGTCTTTATTTTGAATTGTAGCAAGAGGACTTTAAATGCAATTCCTCGTTGGTTTGAGATGAATGCAAATGTGGTGTGTCAAGTCTCACTTTCAGTTCCTCTGCTCTGTTGCTCCCAGCAGGTACTTCCTGTGGTGCAGCTGCGATGGCTGAGTTACAAACCTCACTTCAGAAAACAGCTCGTTAGTCCAGCTCATCTTTATCTTAATTTATTTCTTGCCCTGTGAATCCTTGGTGTGTGGTCTTTTCTTGCATTTCAGGAGCTTTCACTTAACTGTTGAATCTGTGGGAAATCCTGCTAGTATTATAAGAGGAAAAATGTTGAAGTGATTGTAGTGATTGTCTGGTCTGAGACAAATATCATTACATGGGCTGGGAGTTTTAAAATAAGTAGTATCTATAGGGTCTGTTGCATGGGAGTGTTGTTAGAAAACTAAATTGTTTCTTCTTTTCCTCACTGAGGTACTAGACGGTCAAAATTAACTGTGATGTGAGTAGGTTTCTGATATACTTTTTCTTTCGAAAAATTCTTCATGGTCTTATCTGAAATCTGTATGAGGATACTTGCTTTCTGAGTTAATTTTGCAGATTCTGTATGCACAGTGTGACTCAGGACTGCAGTAAAACACTGTTCAGAAGTTGTTGTTCTTCCAGTTCCGGTTCTCTGGTAGATTTGTATAATTTTGGTAGTAAAAGAGGGATGAAGAGTTACCAACTTCGATAGGATTTTGCATTGCCATACTTTCTTGATTTCTAAATCATTTATATGCTGCTCTTTTGGCTTGAAATGAATGATGCATGACTGGGGAGCACAGGGTACCTGATTATTACAACAGGCTTTTTTTAATAAGCATTTAAAAAAATGGGGGAAGAGTGGCATAATTTACGTTAAATTATTTTTTAGTTTACCTTTTTTCAGTTTTACTTTCAGAATAGACTCATTTTTTTCCCTTGAACAGACTAGGTTTTTAGTTTATTTTGATGCTTGAGGGTTTTTTCCTTGCAAACTAAGTTCCTATAAGTTATTAGTTCTCAGGTAGAATGCTGGGTTTTAGTTCTTTAAGTAGATTTTTGAGATTGAAGAGAGGGGAGGAGCAGTAATAACATATGCCAAATTGCTGCTTAGTTCTTACTGTGACTGCCTAATGTCTAAACCAGAGACCTTGTCACCTGCCTCATGCTTAGTTTTGTCTAAGGAGGGACTGCAGTCCATAATTAATTTTTCTGCTTCTCTTTATTTATCTGTAACTCAAGGACTATTAATAATTCCTTCTTGTTTTCTCTATATTTCGCTGTACGCAAGATAGCAATTGTAATTTCCAAAATAATGTAAATGGAAATTTTTAACTTCTTCAGTGGCTGAATCACTGTAAATGCATTCCTTTTGGAATTAAGTTTAGAACAGGACAGTCTTTCATAACTCCTGTCAGCCCTTATGATAGCTTTTTGGCAGATAAGTTCAGAAAATGTTCCATTTTGCACTTTGGAACTGAAGAGGAAGAAATCTGCCTTTGTGATACTGTGTAATGTTGGTTTGGGGTTTTAAATTTATTATTAAGCAATGCAATATCAACCTTCCTCCTTGCAAGAAAAATCATGTATTTTAAATGGCTACAGATTTCCTTAAGGATTTACAATACTGCAGGACCTAAGAAAAGTAATTACTAAAAGTAATGAAATTTTTAAATGCTCTCTTGCCTAGAGGAGAATATGTGGTTTTGCTACTTAAGAGCATTTTCTGTACAACATAAAATTGCTAGTTTCTAAGCAAGTCTCTAGAAAAATATTTTGGAGTGACTTTTGCTAGTTCTGATGGAATTAAGGAAGGAACAACTTGTCTGGAAATTGTTTTAAAAACAATTGAAAAAATTTTGAGAAATATTTCTCCTGCCAGCCAGTTAACATCCAAAAAAGTATGTTAAAGGTCTGTCTCTTATTTGAAGTGGAGCTGAAGTTGTTTTGTGGGTGGCAGCATATGGAGTAATAGGATTGGGACCTTGATGAGCTCTAAAAAATCTAACATCTATTTAATGAAAAGGTACTAAAGTAGGATTTATAGTGATCTAGAACTTTTCCATAAGCTTTTATGTTTATGATAGCAAATGTAGCAAAATAAAAAAGTTTATAACTGTTTAAAAG